CTTGGCAAAGAGGCAGTTAGGATGCATCGTGGAGACAAGTATAGTGAAACTTCTTCTCACAAACTTTGGGCATGTTGTTAGGAAGGACCACTCCTAGGAAAGAACATTATACCATGGAGTAGACTCTAGTGTGTCAGAGACGAGGAAGACAGCACAGGTTAGGACAGGGTTCGGATCTGTGGTTCATAGGGTCTCTGTGAGCCTTAGTTGAAGGCAAAAGAATAGCAGGTCAGATCCTTTCAGAGACTGTTTGGCAGTTAAACCTGGTGATCTACGTCTGAAAGGTCACAAATTTGCAAACCCCCTGGAACCACTGTACTCTGCACACATGGACTCACCTTGAGTCAGAAGTGACTTGACAGCTCACTCCAGGTCCCTGCATGAGCCTGGGACATCCTGGTGTGTGGATCAGTGCGACTCTGCCTTGATTCCAAGTTGTTATTTATTAGCAGTCCTGCTTATTATTTACTATTGTCTACAGGGTAACAGTGTGTACTTAAACTCCCCATTATCTGAATTTTCTAACAATATCTCACTTCATACATTAGATAGAATCATAAACATTACTTTTATTTCCTTCCGTCTCTTTTTCTTTTTTCTTTCCACAAGTGTTATTTTAAATTTTCTCTTTTTTGTTCATGCCTAGCATAGCTGTGCTAATTAAGTGAAGTAGTTACAGAAATGTCTTGCCTATCGAGAAATCAATAATGAGAAGGACAACAGGGATTGGAACTACTATGGGCTAGGAACATTCCATGGGGGTAAAAACTCTCCACTGCCCTGAACCTCTCACTGGAAAGTGAGTGTCTGGCTTATCCAAGTTTTTTCTGAAAATAATTTTTGCATAGTGATTCCTTTTGTCTATAATCTTGATTCTAAGCATTTCATACGAGCATACATACGAATAATTTTTGCTCTTTTTTTATCATCATCTGCAGGCAAGCAGTCATCATGCTTAATACTGAATTTCTTCGTAGCTTGGTATCAGCCAGATGTTTTACCTCATGTTGCCTTTCAGACACACTTTTAAAAAGTTGCAATAAATTAATTGCATTCATTTCTGCAGTAAATTTTAAATTACTTTTCCTGGGTCAAACTCTTACTTGAAAATAAATTACATGATAGCACTTTTGGCAGTGTCAGAATCTGATGAATATTATAAAAGTGGCTGTGGTTGTAAATTGGTGGGAAGGGAGGTGGTAAATTTGGTGCCCTGGTAGCACAGCAGCTAAAGTAGTTGGTTTGATTTAAAGGATCCAGTGTACGAGCTGCTTTGTGGGGAAAGAGGAGATGAATTTACTTTTGCAAAGATGTACTGGTTTCAAAGCCTTGGCAGCAGCGTGAGGAAGTTCTGTCCTGCCCTAGAGATCTGCTGGGAATTGGAATTGACCTCCAGGCAGTGGGATTGAGTGGGTGGAGATTTCTAAAATTTGGAAATGACATTTTTCTATATACAGTTTTATAAGTAACATGGGAGCAGTCTGAAAATGTTATATTGCAAGTTAAATATATGCATGTTTAGATTTTGTAAGTAAACAAGAATGCTCTGTTTTATTCTGCACATGGACTAACCTGATTTAACTGATGTTAATGCATCCCAGGTCTAGAACAGAGCAGAATATCTACCCCAAAGTTTTACAAGGACCCAAGTTTCTATAGGAACAGACTGCCCCGTCTTTGTTCCTCAGGGTAGCAAATGGGTTTAAACCACCAATCATTTTGGTTAGCAGCTTGACATTTTAGCCCTGGATCTACTAGTAGTTTCCAAAATGTAGGTGTTGGGTTTTATGACTAGGACCAAGAATCGAACACCATTCATTTTCACAAGATCTGGTCCCTTCTAAGAATGTTTGTCTAAACCGGGTCTAGATAGAACCACAAACATTCTACTTTTTTCAAAGGCAAAGTGGGCAACTCAAATTCTCTTTTAATAATATGTGCTTTCTAAATTCTCTTGGTCTTAGTCTTTTGTGCAAGAAATAGTATGAGCCTTTTCAGTGATTTAAGGATGTGCATACTGTAAGTAACGGGTGATTGTGACAAAGACTTTGTTGCGAGTAGAACAGGTTCAGTTTTAATGAGTGTGCAAATTCATGTGACATTGTAGCATACATGGGAATTCTCTGAAAGCTAGATGTTCATAGCCTGAGGTCTATCTGTGTTAGAAGCTAATTTTGAGTATTGATTTACATACCTCCCCCACTAGTGTTATCTAGAAATGGGCTGTGGAATCTCTTTATGTAACATACCATGGATCTCCAAGAAAACAAACAGGTCTCTCTTGGAGAAGATGAAACCAAGTTACAGGTCTCTCTTGGAGAAGATGAAACCAAGTTTCTCCATGGAAACTAGGATTTTGGAATTGCATCTCACATACTTTGGACATACGGCCAACAGGGACCATTCCTTGGGGAAGGACATCACTCTCAGAAGAGTGGAGCAATAGTGCAGGAGGGGAAGACCCCACATGAAATGGATTGATACAGTAACTGGGACAATGGGGGTAGGTGTATCTGAGTCAGTGCTGTTGTACATAGCAATGCTATGAGTCACGAACAACTCGACAGCACATAACAACAATAACAACAGTCTGTACATATCTGTACATATCCTATTTTATATTTAGATAACTGCGTTTCCTTATTTGCTTTCTTTAGCATCAAATCCTCTGTAGAGAATGAGCTGGATTATGTACATACCTACATCAGTACATGAACAGATGTGTACATATGTAATGGATGAACTTGGGTACAATTCTCAGTATTACATTGTAACCTATTTTCTAATATTCTTTCATTAAGTACTCACAAGTAAGTAAATCCAATGTACTTTATACTTAACAGTATTTTCCTTAAACTCATTGCCTGTTTCAGTGTTTTACATTTCTATTATTTCATGTAAAAGAAGCTTTGAGGAGAGTTATCCCTTGGTCAGGTTTGTGGAGTTTGTCTCTCCCTGTGGCTTTTCTAATGTAGATGGCTGGCTGTGCGAGAGGCGGGACTTCAGATGAGGTGTTAGCCTGTCCACCAAGGGATTGGCCAGTCTCAACTCTATAAAAGAGATTGGCTATCCTCCACAATTAGTTGAAGAGCTCTAACTGCAGGAATAAAAATTCTTCTCTCACCAGAAGGGATCCTTCCTGCACCAGAAGTAATTGAATTCTTTGCATAACCAGAGAAGAGAGACCTCCCCTAACCCTGTGAAATGTAGGACATTCTTCGAGATGACAGCACCAGCAATGGATGAACTGGAGAATTATGTGTGAGACAGGACTTTGGGGTGAGGGGAGCCAGTACTGAGAAGACTGAAAACTTTGTTGGACAATTTCAGGGAAGCCAATGTTGGCAGGACTGAAAACTCGGGAACACTTAGAGCAATGAGGCTCATGTGTCTGCATGTCCATTTTTGGAGCTGTCTTTACTGTATTCTTAATCTGCATTCTAACCATTTAACTCCCCCAATATGGCTATGTGATATTTTCTTGAGTTACCATATTGGGTTTTGGACCCAGCCAAACAGTAAGATTGGTGTTGATTTGAGTGCCAAAGGGGCCCTTTAGAGTAGTGAGAGAAGATCTTCACCCTGAAACCCACAGCGTCCCTTTTCAGCAGGAAGTAGCTAAGAGAATACGCCATCCCCTTTCCCTTATGAATCGGGGTGAAGTCTCTCTCAGGGAGGAGTGATAGGGAGTGGCAAAGGACACACTGACAAAGGAGATTAATCAGAACTGGCTTTGACAAGCACTGTGGCAATTGGACAATTAAAACAGACGAGGAGGGTAGAGAGAATGGTGCAGCAATGAAGGAATGAAAACCCAAAATCCCTGTAAATGTTCATTAAAACTAATAAAATTTAATAATTAAAAAAAAAGGAGGCATGGGAGTGTGTGTGTGGGGTGGGGACATGTCTGGCCTCATGGGAATTGGTTCTGTGTTACTGATACTGTGGACTGGGATAGTTTCCCCCTGTGAAGCTGGTAAAGGTCAGATATGATGCTCTTTTTTCAGGTTGAAGTTCATAAAAAGTTCATTCTCCATAATCATATAAGAAGGAGAAGGGTGATGTTACCACAAACTTGTCCATGTTGTATGTCTAAGTCCTGTCTTCACAATTGGTGCTTCTCTTGGGCAGCATTTGAATTGCCTTTTAATTTTTCTCCCTCAAATTACCACAATTGAGTCTCTCATTTTAAGGAAATGTTTCATTGTTGGAGTTGATTTGTGACTTAGTAGACCCTGGACATCAAAGAGTAACTGGTAGTTTCTCAACTTTACCTGGACTGTAATCTTTAGAATTAGATCTCCAAGCCTTTACATGGTGGAGCTGATGGGTCCATCAATCACTGTGTTACCAGCCAGGAGGAAGCAACTTTTTCTTCCTGGAGATCCCCGAGGAAGTATTTATCATTTTAATCTTCTAGAAAAGTTAGTCAAAGAGAAGACTCTGGAATAAACCTATAAACCACCTAATAAAAAGAATAAAAAGAGGATATAAAGCATCTGTTGGTGAAGGTATTGTCAAAGACAGCTCATTGAAGAAAAGGGTGTCTCCAGGTGACCCAACCTTGCTCAGTTCACACCTACCTAGGAGCACCTGGGGCTTCAGGATCCTCACGTCATCTCACCATCAATGGAACTGACCTTTCAAATGGGAAATTGAGGAGAAAGTCTTCTTTTTCTGTACTTTTAACTCCAATAGCGAGTTAAACTTCATGACTGAAGAATGTGGCCTGATAAATTCTTAAATCTTTCCTTTGATGTTCACAACAGTGTATCAGAGGCCTGTAAGTCCCCAGCCTCTACACGGCAGCAGGTGGCACCCTTGTCACCGAGCCGGCACAGCAAGGCCCCTGATTGACGTCCTTGCTTATTATTTTTGAATGCTGAGGGTGCATTTTCCTAGCAAGGGCTTGCTCTGTTTATTGACATGCATAAATGAAATGCTCTGCTTTGCTGGCTGTTTAATTGCTAATTTAATTTTCCTAATGACTCTCGTTACAGGAACTGGACTTTGAAACCAAAACCAGTTACACGCTCCGGATAGAGGCGGCCAACAAAGACACTGACCCTCGGTTCCTGAGCTTGGGGCCGTTCAGTGACACAACCACGGTGAAGATCATTGTAGAGGACGTGGACGAGCCCCCCGTCTTCTCCTCCCCGCTGTACCCCATGGAGGTGTCGGAGGCCACTCAGGTGGGGAACATCATCGGCACTGTGGCGGCTCATGACCCGGACTCCTCCAACAGCCCTGTGAGGTAACGCTGCTGTTTCTCTGCTTCTGCCATGTCCTCAGGCGCCTCCTCTCAGAGCTCCTCTATCTCTCTGCTGAGGGAGGCCTTCTCTTCACCACAGATACAAATCGAGCCACTGAACAGAAATGGGATCAGAATAGCATTTGCAAGATTCACAAGTGTAGCTCTAAGACCAATATGAGGCAGTGGTTTTCTGGTGGCCTACTGGATAGGGAGTTGCCCTGCCAATTCAGAGGCCATAAGTTGAATCCAAACGATTTTAATCCACCACCTGCACCATGGGAGAAGGGTGAGCAGTCTCCTCCTGTGGGATTTATAGCCCCTGAGACCCTACTGAAGGGTCAAAAAGGAGTCAGTTCCTGCTTGAGAAATGAGTTTTGAGGTATTATCCACAAGTGGCAGCTGAGGTTCCTGGTAAACCAATTCTCTTGAGTCTCTTTCTACACAAACTGTATCAACAGATGAAATGCTGAATATTCTAATTATAAGATAAATACATCTATTAAGAACATGTTTCATAAACAAGTTAAATTAGGAATTGAATAAATTATTCTTAATATTGATTCGTTTGGATAATACCCGGGTTTTTTTACACTTTAATATTTTCATGTTGTTTTTGTTATGTGCCATTGAGTCACTTATGACTCATAGCGACCCTATATACAAGAGCCCTGAACTCTGTTCTGTCCTGTGCTAATCACACTGTCTCCGACACCCCCACCCTGATTACCACAGTCACTGAATCAATCCACCTCATAGAGGGTCTTCCCCTCCTGCGCCGTCCCTCCACCCTCCCAAGCATGACATCCCTCTCCAAGGACTCTTTGCAACATGTTCACAGTATTTCAGGTGAAGCCTCAGAATCCTTGCCTCCAAGGAGCAGCCCGGTTAGACCCTCTCCAGGATGAATCTGTTTGTTTTCTTAGCAGTCTATGGTGCATTCAATACTCTTCTCCATCCCCACATATATATGTCAATGCTTCCAAAAGTTAGTGACAGGACAGGACAGAGCAGAACTTGCCCACAGAGTTTCCAAGACTATACTCCTCCAGAAGTGGCTCTCAGTGGATAAGGAACTTTTAGAGTAATCTTTCTTTAGCAGGCCTGAGTCTGAAATGGATTGAGACAATGACTACAATGGATTCAAATGTAGCCCGTGATTTGAGTGTGGTACGTGGCAGAGTGTTATTTTGTTCTGTTTAACATAGAGTTGCTATGAGTTGAAACCAATTCAGTGGCACAAAGCAACAGCAGAACTGCCTCAGGACTAGAGATGTTATTATAAAAGTCTAGGACTAACAGAATGATGACATGTAAGCATTTCAGAATATCCCAATGTTGCATTTTCTTCTGCTTATCTTTCATTTATAGTTTAAATTTTATATATATATATATATATGAATATGCATGTGTAAGTATGATACTGATATCTATTTGAATGAATCTGACAAATTTAAAATGTGCTTTTTACTCATCCTTCATTTGAATTCATAAGTAGCACACACAATTTTCCGTGTGAGTTGCCTCTCACACTATTTTTCTTTATCCTTTTGTAGAGCTCAGGTAAGGAGGGCCTTCCTTACTGTGTTGTGGTACGAATCACATGCACCAGCTGTTTCACAGGAAAAAGATCGGCAGCCCCCTCCGATCCATGTGTATGCATACCACAAGTAAGCTCTGGTGCCCTAGTCACAGGATAGTTCACAGTAATCCGAAAGGCACAGAGTTTGAATCCACAATCTGCTTTGTGGGACAAGGATGGGCAGTTTTTTCCTATGTGATTAAATGCCTCTGAAAACCTGCCGGAGGGTCAGCTATAAGTTGGTTCTGACTCGATGATACACAACAACAACAACATACATACACACGTACATATGTATTTAGGGAGCTCTGATGGCTTAGTGGAAAGGAATTGCATTACCAACCTAAAGAATCACTGTTCAAACCCACCAGCTTCTCTGCAAGAGAAAATGAACAATCTCCATCCATGAGATTAACTGCTATTGAAAACTCCCTGGAGAGTCAACTATGAGTTGGTTCCAAGTTGATGGTACATAACAACAACATAGTGTAAATTTATGTATAATATTATATATTTTTTATATAGTACATTTATATAGATAATATATACATATATGGGGGCAGCTGTGCTGGTCTAGTCAGTGAGAAGATGCAATGCCAACCCACAGGTTCAGTCCACCAGTGGTTCCACCAGAGGAAGATGGACAGTATCCTCCTGTGTGACTTACAGCCTTAGGAAACCTCAGAGACTGGAGGAGCATCGCTGAGTCAGTTCTGACTTGAGAGCGAAGAGTTTGAGGTTTTTCTAAAGCTGTAATGTTTGTGTATTTATGTATCAGTATATACATACACACGTAGAGTGCGCAAAGATGAGATGCAGACTTAATAAGTGTCAAAAATGAAGTCATACTCATTGGTTCTCTGTGAAGAGTATCCACTTTCGGATCTCTGGATAGTTCTTCTATTTATTTTTTTAGCTTTTTTTTATTATTACTTTTAATACACATTTACAGAGGTTTTGAATTTCCATTCATTCATTGCCACACTTTTCTCCCTGCCCACCCCTCCTCACCAGCTCGCTCCCCCCTTTAAACTATTTCTAAAATCATAATCATCTGTTCACTGAAATACCCTGCACAGTGATTGAGTCTCTCCCACCTACCTGTATAACTCATCATCAAATCTGCTCACAGACTAACTCCCCGCCACCCCCAGTACATGCTGACCATCATAACTTGAAACTTTTCATATTTATTTTTGTGATGACATCCTACCACTTGGTGACTCACTGAAACCTCTTTATTCACCAACAATCAACTGCAGCACTCTTGTAGGCAGAGAAATACCAGCTGCTATGGGCATTCTGGGAGAGCTGGACTGTGAGGAGGACAGAAGAAGAATCAGCTCCTTTGAGCTGTGGTGCTGGAGAGGAATATTGAACATACAATGGACCACCAAGAAGACAAACAGGTCTGTCCTGTTTGCTCCAAGTTGCTCCTTGGTGGCAAAGATTTTGCAGCTCTGTCTCACATCTTGCTTGAAGTGCTGGAGAAGAAAACTCCAGATGAGATGGATTCATGAACACAGTGACTTTGGCGATGGGGTCAGATATGTCAGAATGATGACGTTGTCTCAGGATAGGTTCACGGCTGTTGTTCGTAGAGGCCCTGTCTGAGTCATAGTTGACTTGACAGCACATAACAAAAGCTGTGGTAGTTTAGTGGCAAAGAATCGCACTACCTATGTGAAAGTATGCAGTTTGAATCCACCAGTCCATGGTAGAAAGATGGACAGTGTTTCCCTTAGGCTTTACTGCCTCTAAAATCTCACTAGAGGACCAGCTATGGGCCAGCTCTGACTCGATGGTCCATAACAACAGTAGCAACTTCCATTTGGTTCAGTTGACTGACTGAAGGGGCAAAAAGAGAAAGTCGGTTTCAGGAAGTTGGGATTTTTGAGAAAGGAGAGAACATGCCAACACGTGTAATAATTTAGTTCCTCAATAGATGAGGGGATTTGAAGTGAGGGGCTTCAAACCACCTAAGGGCTCATCAGGAAGATCCACTGATCTCTTCCTACGAAGATTACAACCTAGGAAACCCCCGAGGGGCAGTTCTCCTCTGCATTTGGGGTCACAGAGAATCAGAAGCAGTGCAGCAGGACCTGATAACACCACCACCATCTGGACAGCTGTTACATCCAGTCAGCTGTTACATAGCCCGTCATTTCATTGCATTTTCTTCTTCTCCCAAATGGAAACAGGATGCTACAACCAAAGCTGGAGGTTACGATTAGGTGACACTTGTGAGAGCTCTGGTAATGTAGAGCATTATGTATTAGACTCCACCAAAAGTTCAGTGGTTCAAATCCACCAGCTCCATAGGAGGACAGTCAGGAGTCTTCCTCTCAATCTTACAGTCCCAGGAACCCGGGAGTTGGAGTTAGGAGCTAGTTGTAAGGCAGTGGGTTTGGCAGGCCTTTCAAGATACCTTAGCCAGTAAAAAAGAACTCTTTTTAAAAAAATCAGAAGCAAGTATTTGAGAACAAGTCGATACCTTTTCAGTCTTCTGTACTCTGGTGGCTTGACGGTAAGGAATTACACTGCCAACCCAAGGGCACTCAGTTCGAATCCATCGGCACTAGATGGACAGTCTCCTCCCATGGAGTTTCCTGCCCCTGAAAATCCACTGAAGAGTCAGCTAGGAGCTGGTTCTGGCTCGGCTGTACTCAAAAACAACAACTTGCTTATTTTGACCGTGGGCAGCAAGTAGTAGACTCTCTGTTGAACTTGGAAGGAAAGAGTGCTGCCGATGCTGACATTTTTCTGAGTGGTCAGAACTTGACCAGGTGGGTTTCTTGTCAACCAGAAGATAAAAATGATGAGAGCACCCTGGAGTATGCGGGACCATCCATCTCCCATGTCAGCATTGATGGACAGATCAATGCATCAGCGTGCCCTTACTAAGAATCTGCTCTCTGCCAAGTGCTGGGGGAAGTATTGACAGGGAAGCACGGATGAATAAAACATTTCTTCTGACCCCAAGGAACTTAAAATGGGCCGGAAGAAAATAAGAGCCCATAAAAAGTTAAACAATGTGTAAAGGAACGTGCCAGAGCCGTAACTGGCCAATTGTGAGATAAATAAGAATCAGTCGGGTGCCTGGCAGACTTCACGGAGTCTCAGGACGCAGGGCTTGGACAAGCCAAACAAACACCATGAAAAGACTGTTCCTGTTTTATTTTGTGTTTTTCTGGGAATCGGATGCTTTGTTACCAACTCACAAATTCATTCCTGTAGCAGATCAGCAGGTCCCAAATCCCAACACGAAAAGTAGCCAATGCATTTAAAACATGATATTATTGCAAATCAGACCATATTTGAAGAGAGTGAAATCAGAAATCCTTTTTCAACATGTTTAACAATTGAAGAGAAGAACAAATTTTTTTTTCTGATGTATACAACAATTTGAGCGTAGAACTGT